GACAAGTGGGAGACAAATGGGAGACAAGTATAAAATCATGCGGCCAGCGCACTCAGAGCATCGAGAGCTTACTGGGAGACAAGTGGGAGACAAATGGGACACAAGTAAAAAAAAACATGCGGCCAGAGCACTCAGAGCATCCAGAGCTTACTGGGAGACAAGTGTGAAATCATGCGGAGCTTACTGGGAGACAAGTGGGAAACAAATGGGACACAAGTATATATTAAATCATGCGGCCAGAGCACTCAGAGCATCCAGAGCTTACTGGGAGACAAGTGGGAGACAAGTGTGAAATCATGCGGCCAGAGCACTCAGAGCATCCAGAGCCTACTCGGAGACAAGTGGGAGACAAGTGGGAGACAAATGGGAGACAAGTGTGAAATCATGCGGCCAAGCACTCAGAGCATCCAGAGCTTACTGGGAGACAAGTGTGAGACAAATGGGAGACAAGCCTGAAATCATGCGGCGAGCATCGAGAGCTTACTGGGAGACAACTGGGAGACAAGTGGGAGACAAATGGGAGACAAATGGGAGACAAGTATAAAATCATGCGGCCAGAGCACTGAGTACTCTGAGTTGAAATGCTCTGAGTGACAGCTCTAGTTGAAATCTGGAGCGGAATGAGGCTGGATTTGAAGCTTTTCAAAGAGCTCGAGATTTGGTGGCAGCTTGCTTGGACGACCCGAAGATGAAGCCACCTAAGCCCTTCATAGTCTTGAAGGATTTTCCTTATTCGCAGAGATCCTCGCAGATCCTCGTTTCGTTTTGAGTCACCGCAAGCTTCTTTCGAGTTGCTTTGCATCGAAATACACTTGCGGATGATCAACGAAGCAATCACACACTCTTACGTCAAGTGTTGCGACCTATAGCAAACACAGGTCAATGTAGTACATGGCTAAGCCAAAGAAGGCAACTGCGTAGGAAGGAAAAAGCCAAGCGCAGTGTCGGTGCTCTGAGGAAATCTTCATTTTGATTGGGTCTGCGCATTCGTGTTTACAAGCGGGGCAACATATGTCACAACCTGGATCCATAAATTTCATGTTTTAGCCCTTGTACGGCGTCCCATTGTAAAGTCAATGAAAAACAGAATTTTAATGCTTTCCATTTGAATCTTGTATGTGCGTCTACATGGTGGACTACAGTTTTCTTCCTCTAGGAAATACTGCTGGCCATATTGTTCGGAGATCTCATTTTTGAACATTGCTCTGTTTGGGGTCTACGCTGGTATAATTTATATTATATTTTTTTTTCGGCATCTCTTTTATTTTTTTATTGGTCACGACGGATGCCGGGCTGGCTAGCGCCCGAAAGTGGCTCCGCGGGTGCCGAAACCGGGTGGGCGGAACCCGGGACTCGTGGGGCCGAGCCGTCCTTTTTTGTTCCCGCTTTGTGTTGCTAATTGATAGCGGCTTAATAGCGATTCCCTTAAGGCACTTGTTTCTAGTAGCGATGCCCTTGTTACTAGTAGCGTTTGCGGAAGAGTCACTTTTTGCCCGTGTCGTTTGTTGAAACTGAGCATTCGGTGTCGTGAGAACGATGTGAGGCCTGCGCTGAGGCGAACATGCCGACTTTCGTGCCGAAGCTCTCTGGCCAGCTGCACCAGAGCAGCTTGAGGACAGGACTTGACATGTTTGTTAGAAGCTCGTCATCACCATTGTTACGAAAAGGATCGAACATGACATGCTTTATATAGAAATCCTCTATGAAATGCTGAAGTCATCAACATCGAACTGCTTCTCTTCAATTTCTTGTTTCAAAGCCTGAAAGTCTTCGTTTCCTCGGTCTTCTTCGTCCAGGATCACCCGCTCGTCACACCGGTCGCCCTCGGAGAAGTACCAGGCAGACGTTGCGGAGACGGTCGTCCATCGTCCAGCGTGGCCTTTTCGTTGTTTTTCCATGTGTTTTCCAAAAGCGGATTGAGGAGGATTCCGAAAAAAGCGTTAGTTTGGCCTGCTTCCTTTGACAGTTTGGGGATGACAAGGGGCATCGTTCTCCCGAAAAAGGGGGTGCTTGGTAAACGGGCCTTGTCTTGAAGCAAATTCGGACAAATAGCACATCTTTGAGCATGCGCCAGAGGTGGCAATGCAAGGCAGAGTTGTTCACAAGCCTTGGCAAGAAACGTTGAGAACAGCATATTATATGATATGAGCCTGGGTGTTTTCTGCTCGTGTTTCCTCCTGTTTTGACCGGCCAACGTCCGGCCAACGCGCAACTGGTGAAACATGTCATGTTTGACACTCAGGTGGGTGCAAGTGCCGTGGTCGCAGCTCTTGATCTCCTCTATGGAGAACACTTGCTGCGCTCGGGAGCGCAGACCGGAGGGACGGGAGACGGAGACTCGTGGAGACGGCGGAGGGCGATTTGGGCCACCCGAAGCTTCGACCTCGTTGGACCTGGTGAGATTGAACAACTCCCACAGAGGGTGCCGATGCTCAGCTCAGTGTTTGGATGCCCACTCCGGTACGAGGTACTCAGTACTGGGGGCGTTTCGACTGATCTCACTCGGTCAGGTCACCAACTGACCCGTGCGTTTGATCGCTACCGGGGTATGGCTGCTTTGGCCGCCCTACGATGCTTCCGGGGAGGCAGGAGCTGGGCTAGGGCTGGGCTACGGCTATGAAGGGATCTCTTTCAGGGGCGGCCAACAGGGCTCTCAGTCTTCTTTCTTCGATGTTCCTTAGGCCACTGGGCTTCTCAAACAACGAACTCGCCAGCGGCGCCTTGGTAGGACGCAGCTCTTCCTTGGAGATGCTTCCGGGCTTTGGAGGGCCCTTGGACGCCGAGGCGCGAGCACAAAATGGATGAAGAGACCTGAATCTGTTTGAAGAAGTTCTATAGTAGATATGATATAGTATTAGAACTAGGAGAGAGGCCCAGGCTGATTTTAAGGTGAAGTTGGGCTGTGTGAGGGCCCTCAGCAGGTTGCTGAGGCATGGAGTTGGGCTTCTGTGGAAGCCCAAAAGCATCAACATGTAAACTTTGCTCTTAGCAACGAGGCATGTTTTTCCAAGAAACATTTTATGGTATTGCTGGTGTTTTGGGCTGCGTAACTCACTAAATTTACTAGATAAGGAATCATTTTGTTTGGGTAACAAATGGTCAGTTTAAAGGGTACGGGGAGGCGCAGTGCTGTATGATAAGAGATGACTCATACCGATACCCAAGTCTTTCTTCAAGATGAACTTATGAGACATTCCCCGCCAGGTGGTTCTGCCTCTGCTTTTCGTCACTTCGTCCTTTCCAAGAACACTCAAGCTGTGTTTGAAGTGGACGCCTCCGTCGATGCCGGACCTGCCGTCCGGTCCAGTTATGGACCTCTAGGCGATGTCTCAACTGGACCTCCTGAGGCCGGTCGAACGGTGCAGATGTGGAGAAGGCTTTTAAGACACGTTTGAGTCAAGAGAGTCATGAAAAGGACGAAAGGTCTAAAGAAGAAGGGTGGAAAACAAGTAATATAAGGTTTCAAGAAAACAACAAGTGAGAGATCAAGCAAAGTAACTGTAGGAGTAAATTAGTTAAAGACATTGCTCCCCAAAACGCCACACCCTCGTTGTCCCACGTGAGATTTCAGTTTCATCCTGCAAGGCTTGATGCTCCTTGGCTCTCGCAGGCCGGGAGTCGGGTTCACGTGCGTGCTGTTCCGTTGGCTTTGTCCGATGTTCCCAGCGACGTCCGATGTTCCGGTGATCATCCGTGGGGCACCGGTGGACGTCGCTGGGGGGTTTCTCCGAGTTTCCCTCCAGGCGCGCTACCTGGCACGTCGGGCTGGTCCTTTGGTGGCCGGTGCTAAGCCTGCAGCGAAAGGCGACTGGACTCTCCCGGACTCGGAAAAAGACAGCCAAGCGATGTGTTGCAGAACAGATCTTGGTCAAACGAAACATTTCTCGTTTTTGCCCCAAGGTTTCAGTCCTTTCATTCTTTACTGTATTTTGTGGTTTCATTGCACCTGCCCCCCCATCTCTCTCCCACTCCCCCCAGTCTTTTTCGACATGAAGGCTTGACATCCTGGACTGCTGAGCCATCTCTTTCGCGAGGGCGGACCCAAGGCTATCAACGAGGCGCACGGGCTCAAAGAACAAGACCCATATTTGGTTCTCGCCAAAACGTTGTTCTTCTTGCTTCCAATGGGCATCTTTTTTCCCTCAACGACTACAAGGTACAGCATGAGTCTCGATATGAGACCCTCTTGGAGTGAAAAAATGGCCGGGCTGTGCTTGGAGCATCGCACCGGCGGGGGTGTGACCCTAGAACACCGGACTACCGGACCCCTCTTGCACGAAGACCTTGTGTGTGATCCGTGTGGAAGCTACCTGTGTCCCGCCTAGGTGGGAAGGAACTGCACGGTGCCATTTTGGTGAGGCTTTCAGGGCCACCGGGCACCCGAAAGAAATGGAAGGCACCTTGTTGCACCCTTTTGTGGTTCACGTTTGGTGAGGCAGCCCTGATACAGAGCTGCTGCATGTCTCCAAGCCGCAAGAGTTTCGTCTCGATCGTCGTCGTAGTCCAACGACACAGTCGTGTGTTTGCTGGGCCCAGAGAGGTGAGCCGCGCTGCATGTTTCCATGCCTGCAGTTTCTAGCCAGATCTTGCTTGACTGAGGCAGTGTTAGCTGAACATGATCGCTCAACACATGCTGAGCGACAAGCCTTGGTGAAAGTGCTTCAACAGCTGGTTGGAAAAGAGTCAAAAGTGCTGGGTTCAAAAGTCACGAGTCAAGCTGGTGGATGTGATCCAAGTATACATACATATAACCATATATATATATATACAATTATATGTATATATCCAAGTAAGATGCATTGACGTTGCAGGGTGAATGCCGGAGTGTTGGTGTTTCCCTTGGAGTCTCTTGAACCACCGGCACCCGACACCCCGTCGCCCCGACACCCGTCGCTGCGCCGAGTTTTTCACTGTGCCAACGTCGGTTTGGTTCGACAGCTGTTTGTGGGAGCGATTCCGCTGGTGTCGTTCTGTGCCTAAAATGGCCGGAGCCACAGGTGTTGGTGTCGTTCGACCCACCAAAGGACTACAAAACGCTGGTGTTGTGGACGCGAACGCACCACGTCATGAGGCCCATCGACTGGACACAAAAGGCAGGGCTTAGCAAAAAAACCTCGGATGAGTTGCTTAGCAAGGTTTCGTGTTGGTTTGCCCTTTCGAAACAGAGGGAGCTTAGCTTTTCCAGTCAAACAAGCCTTTCAACATGTGTGAGCCAAGGGTGTGGATTGCCCATATCACATATGTCATCAACCAGCTCATCTCACGTCCTTTGGGGGCGAAACCCACGGCGTTTCTCCGTCGTTCCAGGCAGCTCCCTCGAAGAGGCGAAAGCGCGCGCCGCCCGGGGGCCCGAAGGCGAAGGGGGTCTCCGCAGGTCGCGACTGAAGGCGTCCGGAGGGGATCGGAACAGCTCCAATGTCGGATCCTTATAGAACGATCCATATAGAATGTCGGATCCATCATTGTCGACATGTCTCGATTTTGAGGGGGGAAGAAGAGCCAAAGGATTTCCGACCTCTCAGTTGATTTCTTAAACCAAATGGAGATGGAGATGGACGGGAGGCTTATTAAAGAACTTCGATGGTTTATTTCAATGTCAAGACGATGAAGACGATGGCCGTCGGGCTGTGCGCAGTCGATGTCTGAGGCGCAGCGTGCCACCCATCGTGCAGCTGCAGAGGTGGAAGGACAGCGTGCCGCGGGGCAGCTGGCAGCTCGGGCCAAAGGCGATCCCGCCTGTCGCGCTGTCGCGGTGGCCGAGCTGGGCGTTTTCGGGTGGCGTCCTGGTGCGTGGCACGGTACCGGACACGGCACCGGGCGTTTGGGAGGCCCATTGCCTCAGAGCTCTTCAGATCTGCAGACGGAGACCACAGGCGGATGGCTGAGACCCCGCGTGAAGAAAAACGAGTTTCTGGGCGGCCAAACCCTGCATGTCGTTGGATGCGGCCGCTGGTCCATGCTTGTCCTGGGCCTCCAAATCTAGCACCTAGGATTTTAGATGAAGCTTGCTAAGTCAATCCTATCAGTGAATGAGAGCAACGAAGCAACAACATGCAATAGTATAACCCATTAGTCCGCTCAAAACGTTGCCAGTTCTTCCTTGTGGGCGGGTCTTGTCGGCAGCCTCTCAAAACACCGTCCGCGGCCGAGCGAACCGCGCGAGCACTCGCACTCGCACGCAGGCCACTTGTTGGCGACGTTGCAGATGAAGCTGAAGGAGCTGGACGAAGAAGTCAAGGCACGACCTGTTGGTCTTTGACTCCGCTGGACCCGGCGGGGGGCGGGCTGGGGTGCGCCGGAGGCGGATGAAAGAGGTGCAGAGGAGCTGAGGCGACATTTACAACGTCTACAGCAGGAGTGGGGGGGGATTGTCATATTGTCTTTGTGGCTGCACTTTGTGTGGGTTGTTCAAAGAAATAGGAGGGTATTAGGAGGTTATAGGCTATAGGAGGTTGAAACTTAAAACTGAAGTCGAACTCAAAGCTGTTCTTGTTGCAATCTGCATGGAGGCTGTTGACCCGGCCGACTTGTTTCATTCTTTGTTGAACTCCCAAGATTTCAGCCGGTTCAGCTCTCCTGCCGACTCGTCGACTTCTCTCCAGGAGCATACAGAGCTCAAGAAGGACAGGTGGACCCGGTCGTCCGACTGAGGAATAAAGAAAAGGTCGACCCGGTCGTCCGACCGAGACACGTCTCACAGGAAAATGCTGACCTTTTTAAAACCACGAGGTAACAGTGAGTCGGTTGGGCTTTTTTGGAACTTTCTTCTGCTGGAACCCCGCGTTCGTGAACGCGAAGGTCCAAAACGGATCCGCAATTCCGCGATCCGGATGCGGAGGAGAGAGATCGGGCAGCTGCCTTAGTGGAGGGCTATGAGGCAAGTCAAGGGTTCTGGGACGAGCCGTTGGGTCGTTGGGTCGTTGATTCCACCGGGTCGTTGTGGCGAAACCAATCGGTGTTTGGTGCGAAACCTTTGGTCCCTTCAGAACCGACGGTGTGGAAGGGTGTGGAAGGCCAGGGGTGAGAGCGAATGAAAGGGCTTGACATTCTGAGTTTGACATTGAACCTCATGGATGTCTAATTAGCAGGCATCAAGCTGTATTTTTGAAGATCAGCACAGTCCTGCCAGGCTGGATCAGTGACCTTCGACAAGGAGAGACATGATCTAACAAAGGAAAACGAGCCTCCACACCAGCCACTGACCACCCAACTGTCCAAACAACCACTGACCACCCACTGATTTCTTCTGTCCTTTGCTCTCCTCGTTGGTTTGATAGCTGCGTTTCCACTGCAGGAGTATAGCAAGCTGATGGACAACTCAGACGAAACCTACAAGATGGCACATGCCTCAGACTCGAGGTTTCGCCGTGTCTCGTCTACTACAGTTGGCCCCTTTAAAAGCCCCTACAAGCCTTCGGTTGGCTTTTGCTTGACCTGCTAGATCTCTAGATGATCCTAGACATTCCGAAGGACTCCTTTTGGTTTTTCCATACCGATGTGAAGCGGTCGCTGCTTTTTCGCATCGCGTGGCAGATTCTCCGTCGGGGCAGGTGCGTAGCAAACACAAGGAGGCCATGGGAATTCTGTTGGGGGGCCCCAGCAGAGGTCCAGCGGGTGCTCCGGTCCATCATTTGGCCAAGTCGCCGTCGCTGCCAAGGCAAAAAGAAGACACCTTTGCTTATCACCCTGCCTACAAAAGGCCAACGGACAAGTGTGGGAACTCAGGGCTTGTGAACAACTCTCAGGTGCTACACACAATCTCTGCCGGCCCAAAAAGTGCTCTACACCAGCTGCTCTGCTCACTCTGCTCTGAAGTCTAGGTTCGAAGCTGCATACTTCACTCCAGTGCCTCTCAAGAAGGCGGAGGAGCGGACGTTCGTTTCTTCCCTCTTGGCGGACGTTTCTTCCGTTCCGTCGGGAACGGACGGTAGGGAACGGTTGGTCGCTCGGTGCCACGGTAGGAACGAATTCGAACAATCAGATCGACTTGCTTCACAACAGTTGCGGTGCGGTGCGCAGGAGAAGAAGAGCCCAGCCCAGCTGAAGGTAGAGCGAATGAGAAAGCAAGGTACCCTCTCACAGGCAGGCTGGCATGGTTGGGGCTGAGTCTTGCGGCACCAAAGGATGAGCTACGCAGACCCTTTCACTTTGGACATTTTGCAGTTTTCTTGAGAAGTACATGGTATATATGCTTGATATTCAGGATGAGATATTCACATCTGGATTTGGTGATATTCCCCATCTATCCCAATCGACTGCTGTTCGGGCAGTTAGTCCGTCCGGACCTGTTCACGAATGACCGCGCAATCGACACCTGTGCAGGTGGGTGCAAGTGGGGCTGCCTCCAGCGTTCACCCGTGCAAGCTTTTGAGCTGTGCAAGTGGGATGGAGAGTGCTGTGGGCCGCCAGAGGTAGAGGAGTTTTGAAGAGGAGTTTTGTAAGAGACCACTTTTGCATACTGTAAAGCTCTTCCAGTCTCAATCTATATAGTATGTATGGCGGCTTAAACTTAAGCTCAAACCTTGGTGCATGCTTTTGGTACTGTAGAGAGCCTCATGCTGACAGAACGTCATGATTGCCAGGGCTAGCGGCCAATTGAGCAGCCTCTGTGGGCAAAACCTCGCGGGCGGACGCGAAGAGGTGTTTTTCAAAGGGACGACACCAGGTCGCTACCCGATGTCCCGCCAGATGCCAAGATCCCACTCGGTTGAGAACCAGATGTGCCCCCCTTATCACATACTGTATAAGGTGTGCAGCCCAAAGAAAAGGTGTACATTGGGAGCACCATGCTGAGGATCTGCAAAGCAGATGTGCTTAGCTTAACATGCTGGGAACAGTAGACTAGTTCATATGAGAGACCAACTGACCCAACAACATTCGTTATGACAACTTTCAGCATTGTTTTGTCTCAGTAGTTTTCAACCATGGACTCTGAAGCTTTGTTGCATGCTTCCCAGGATGTTTGGCTGTTTATCTCTCGGTGATCTGCCAAGCAGACGACTGGAAAAGGAAGGTGTTTTACATTTTTGATTTGAGCTCAAACACTTGTCCTTGCAGTTCCAACACCGTGCTTCTGGCTGACAGCACAAAGCTTTTGAAATGGATCTTTTGGACTACAGCTTGGCGGTTTTAGACATAGTCAATTTTCATTTCCCCTTCATTCTGGCGCTCCCGAAGACATCATTATTTTTTTCTTTTGTTGTGTTTCAAGACTTCTTTTTATTTTGATATCATTTCGTTTTTATTTCTGTTTCATGTTCCTTCCATTTCCTCGTCAACTAAGGCTCCTCGCTAGCAACCCGACCCCAGTCTGCAAAAAGACTCGCATTGTCCATGTTGCTTTCATGATATTACTGTAATATCACTCACTATGTCATATATCATATTGTTCTAAATATGTTTTTTTTTTTTTTTTTTTTTAATATAGATATTATATTGTTCTATACCACATTTCTTGATTCAGATATCTATATTTTTCTTATGATTTTGTTTTCATGTTTTTTCATTGTGTTGGTCATGCTGCTTTCATTTTCTTATAATTTTCATGTTCTTTGTTTTCAATTGTTTTATCAAAGGTTCAAGATATGAAGACAACATCAAGTTCAACAGTTCAACACATATGAGAACATGAAGAACAAAGGATGATGGAATGAACATACGCTTCTTGCAATTTCCAACCTGTAGCAGCAAAAGATTGTTCTGAATCTAAATCAGCGTGGCTGGCACATGAAGCCTAGATGGCTTGGTGACCAGCCTTCTTCTCGACACGTGAAGTGGATGTGCTCTAAAGTGGGAATACCCGCAACAAACAGGTTGATTCTTTGTTGTTTGTTCCTCTCAGGTGATGTTGATCTTGGCAAACACAGATGCCTTTTCCTTGCAGCTCTCCACTCAAGTATCATTCCAAAGAAGTGGCCGGTGGATCAGGATGGTCTAAAAACCACAATATGCAAAGACCCCATGTATAGGAATTCCTTAGTTTTGTTTTTCAGGAGACAGACACGACGATTTCCCACCAAGTGGATGTTCCAATCACCCTCACGGTGCATACCAGAACATCCACTTGGCGAGAACCCGAAAGAACTTGCATGAGTTTTTTAGTATAGGAAAGCTTTATGATAGCGATGCTGTGACAGAAGAATAGACACCCTCAAGCACCCTGGAAATGAACACACACCGACCATGCGGTTTGCTGCGAAGGTTTCAAGACGCATCACATGTAATTCATAGCCATGGCGAAACTGTTTGAAGAAGTCTTTCAACCAGGAGGACTGCGGGAAATTTGCAGCCAGCAACAGGAATTGTCTTGACCCGAAACAAACCCTACAGATCACTGCAATACAACGTTCCTTGCGCAACTGGCCTGGCCTACCTACTGTGACCATTGCAGAAAAAGAGCCTTCAATACAGGGATCTCCCAAACATGGCTAAACGCTTGAGGTTGGTCAGGTCCATCGGGTTTTTGTTCCGGACCTCCCAAGGATCCTTTGGAAGCAACATATGTAGACTAGTCTCATTCTGACCCAGAACCAAGTCCCCCTAAACCCTTGTAGCTTCGACAGGACGTTTCGGCTGTTGGGCCGCGAACGACGCACTCGTCTCGTCTCCAGGCTCTGGAGACATCCTCTTAGTGATTACCGATCCCCGAGATCCCATGGGAGCCGAAGGCGGTGACGGCGGGTTTCGGCCTTCGTTTCGGGTTTCGTGGGGAGAGCAGTGCGGAAAAATCAGTGCGCCCCCGGCGCTGGGCCCCGGCAAGGTCGATGCGAAACAGGATCGGAAACTCGTTTTGCTTCGTGTTGCGGTTTGATCTTGTGAGTCTTTTCTTTCAGTACACAGAGTGATGGATAGGATTTGATTCTCTCCCCAGCATTCTAGAGTCTTTTTTCTTCGTGCTTTGATGATACCAGTCATGGGACCCAAGAGCAGTAGATCGAAAACGCTATTGTTCGGAGCCTCACACACTACCTCTCTCATTTGAACTTCTTCAACTCGCTCAGATGCCCTCCGCCTTTGCTGCCACTCCTTGATCCTGACGCGGGAGAGCCCAAAGTGTGTCACAGGCAGAAGGAGTGAAGAAGTATAGGCAGTTGGAACCCCTCCTCAGACAATGTCATCAAACTGGGCCCTAGCATGGAAGGAAGATCGCAGGTCACCCGGTTGGATCCTTGTATTTTTATGGCATTCGACTCGGCCTTCTCTCCTTGTGACTCCTGCCTTTTCTCCCTAACACACCGAGCAGCTTTCCTCTTGGAAGGGGTGTGTTTCACAGCACAGCACCGTTCGGTGCTGAGGCAGCATCCCTACTTCTACAAGATGCTCAGTCGGGGCACTCGGCCACCCAGGACCGTCCGCTGGACGCGTCGCACCGCGTCGCACGCGGGCGGCGGTCGTGCTTTGGTCGGTCGGTCGCCTGAGGCTCTGAGACTCCACTGAGAGAGGGCATCAATCGAGAGGTGGGTCGCACCACTGGGTCGCCGGACGTAGGACTCCGTATGACTGGACATGTTGTGCTCCATTTTGCATCCTCTTTTCGATCTGCTTCGATCCTGCCACTACAAACGGCCTGTCCGCTCACTCGCATCGTATTCCGCAACGAGAGACGCGTCGACCCGTCGGCCCGTCCGAGCCACACAGCCCGTAGGCGCTGATCTCCGAGCCACGCACAGAGGCCGCTCCTGTCAGCGTTTGAGTTCTACCTGTGGATGTGTGAGGTCAGCCACATTGACAGTCAAGGGTGGGTCGGGTCACCTTTGGATGTGACCGACGTGGTGAACTGAAGAACAAGGTGCTGAAACTGAAGCTCTTGTAAGAAGATAGCACCAGAAATACTGTAACATACTGTTACTGTTGTACTTCACTGGATGAACAACTGAGAAGGAAGCGATTCCTACGTCATTCTTTTGCGCTCAGTTTGTAGAGCTTCTTCGCTTCATCTACACGTCAAGCCGGCGAGTTTTGTCGGGTTGTCACGTCAAGCAGGTTAGCAGGTTCGTCGGCTGAGACATTCTTCAGCATTGGAATAGTCGTCATATTCAGCACATTGAATCAATTTGAATCATCTACCGCATCATTCCGGGAATCATGCGTGGCATGTCTCCTTGCCGGGCATTGGAGATGGCGGGCATTGGAGACGGTGTTTTTTTGACTCCAAAGGGCTTTGAACTGCAGTCGGCCGAGTCAACCGTGTAATCTTTCTTAGCCGAGTCGACCGTGTAATCTTTCTTACCCGAGTCGACTGAGAGACAGTTGCTATCGTTGGAAAACTACTACTATCCTCGTTGGAACTGTGCCCCTTTTTCTTGTTTGTTTGGGTTGTTCCTTCTTTTTGGCACAATAACGCTTGCACAGTTGTAGAAAACAACTGAGCAACCAGATTCGCACCTCATGGCCGGCCTTATGGCCCCTCTTCCTGAAGCGAACCAGGAACCAAGTCGACATCAACGAGCACACAGTTGTTGGCCGGGCACCCGTTGCGACTGCACCGACCGTCGCACCGCATTGCCACCGTCTTCCCATGTCTTCGAGGCTTGTTGACCTTGGCAGACAAGTGGCTGCGCTCAGAACGGGGATGTTTTTTCTGGGGGTGGTCACCGGGTGGTCACAAGTTTTCCATCCCTGTGTGCAATTTCACTAGGAAATGGGTGGCCTTGAGGCCACTAGAAGATAGTATTTCTTCTAGTCTACCCTGTTTCTTTTTTTTCCAAAACAACTCATTTTCTATGAGCTGAAGTGTGAAGATCGCTTATATAAAAGGCCTTCCAGAACCACCCATTTTCTACAGTGATGCTATGATCTTCCAGGCAGGGGGGGCATGAACGGCATTTTCTAGTGAGATTTTCTGAAAACTCACAAAGCTTGGTGAGCAAGGCGATGCACTTGTTCCTAGTGGCGAACATTGTTACTACTAGTAAGGCACTTGTTACTACTACCGAGGCACTTGTTACTAGTAGATTGCTGCGTTTGCCATTTATTGAATGGGTGGACCCGACCCCGCCCAGATTTACTTGCAATCTTAGGGGCCCAACCTCCAAGTAACATGTTTCATTGATTCCCATGAGCCCACTAGTAAATGGAAGACATGACCCTCAAGGTAATATTGTCAGATTTTGCAAAGGAGCTTGTGTCAGGCATTTTCTAGTGGCAGTTTTTGGATGTCCAAATTTTCATGCTTATTTTTTCAATCTGTAGCCCACCAGTTTCTAGCTGGATGTCCACCCATTCTCCAGTGCTCAATTCCACTTTGTTTCTGTGCTAGAAAATCATTTTCTAGACAATGAAAGTTTTCCACATTTGGGAATGCATGTATCCTCTTTGTTTCCTTGTGTTTCCAATGTCTTGGTTGTGCATTTTTTTTTCTCCATGTTAAGCTATATATAATTTGGTGCAGTCCAAAAATGGACGCAAGCATCAGGCCAAAGGCCAAATTGAAACGATGCGCTTTGAAGAGCTCAAGATTCCAACATGGCTGTTGGTAAGAACAATTATATATATAGAGCAAAGCTGGCTGGAAAACATGTCACTTTGACACATTTGCCCAGGTACTGCATTGATGAAGTTGTCAACCTGTGCCTCAAGTATGTCAAGGTGGGGCAGAACAGGTTTAGGGCCTTGTGATGCAGATAAAGCGGACCGAATCACAGGGCATGCTTAGCATCACCAACCTCCATGGACATGCGAAACAGTACCTTTCTCAAGACTTTGATGGCACAGGACAACTTCGATGCAGCCACTGGGTTGCAACTAACAACGCGTTTGGAGTTGCTCTAATGGTCGTTTTCGATGTTTTTTTGAAGATCTTTTTTTGAGTGCTTGTGACCAAGGACATGTTCTTCACCTTCTATGACATCACCACGCTCAACTCCACCTACCAAGCAAAATTGAAGGCCTGAGAGGTTTATGATATGGATGATTCATTTGAGCTTGAGATGAACACTGACCACGCTTCATCCCGACGCTGCATTATTGATGCGCTGTAAACGGTCAAACAGTTGTTTGTGCGAACATTCCAAAATTGTCCAAGTGGAGTTCAATGAAGAGTAGCAGGAGGGAATCTAATCGGAATAGATGTGAAATGATGTGAAGAACTGAAGCAGCTGCCGGGTTGCATGCCATCCAGATATTGTGACATGACCTTCGCAGCTTGCAGCTTCGCCGCCTTTTGGGCTCTCTCAGAAACCTCCCCTCCTGCGTGGCGTATCGCCTCCGGCGGAAGGGAAGGAAGTCATGGAGAGTGTTCCACAATTTGAGGCCGCTGGTGAAGCCACGAAGCGACGCACGCTTCGGTTGGAGATGAGAGGTGTAGATCCTCAACGGATCTTTTGGGGTAGACTATTCTAATAGCTTCTTGTTACTACTAGTAAGGCACTTGTTACTAGTAGTAAGGCACTTGTTTCTACTAGCGTGGCACTTGTTACTAGTAGCTTCGATAGCTCTGCAAAAAAGTTCTCACTCGAGAGGTGTAGATTCTTCGAGCCCGTTTTGAAGTACCTAGTGACTCCTAGTGCCTCGACATTAAGAGACACAACTTGTATCTGCCGAAGAAAAACAGCTGCACAGCGGTATCTGCCAGCGTCACGTTGAGTGGGCCCGCCGCGCCGTCGCGACGACACGACCAGGGTGGCGGGCCCATGGTCCTTGTGCCAACCTCAGTGACGACGACGGACCGTTCGCTCTCAGACCGATGCACCGAGAAGACCAAGGGGCCAGGTGAGACCAAGCGAACATGCTGTCACGGTAGCGAACAAGTATTGGCGAGGCCAGAAGGACACAGAGTGGTACTAGTGACTAAGTGGAAGAGGGTGTGGCACAAGCAGAAGAGTGGTGATTCTAATCCCAAATGATCCGAGTGGTGATTCTCTTTGTTTTGCTGGCGCAATCAGTGTCCACAATTTTCAGTACACCGGTGACACCGACGACACTGGTTAGACCAGTTGCACTGGACGCTGGCCACAGAAGCGTAATAACCAGCGCAACCAGCGTAATCAGCACGACCACAGCCACCCTGGTAGGTGCCAGTATACCAGCGTACCAGCGCATGATCGTTCACGGACACATTTTGCCATGTCGCCCCCCCATTTTGAGTTGTGGAGCCATGTTGTCCTCGAAATGTGAATACCACACCACTTTGATCCAGCCTCCTGGTTGGTTGGTGCCTCGATGAAGCTTTGCGGTGTGGCCTGACGAGGTCCGAAACACCTTTTTGGACATTGAGGAGAGGCCTGAGGCGGGTTGGATCAGATCTCGAAAGAATTTCTTAAGCACCAGTCATCCAACTTTGATGTGAACCTGAAAACTTCAAAGACTGCTTTCCGTAAGACCTCTTCTCAAAAATTGCCTAGCGACCGCCTTAGACGACGGTTTTAGTTTCTATTCTATACGTCGGTTTCAAGGAGACCATGGAAAAAGGACAGATCTACGAAGCTTTGTGAGGTGGATCCCCAAAATATCGATCGGATGGGGGCCCGTGACATCCCTGCGACCCTTGTTCGGTCTGAACTTCAGACATCCTCATGTCTCCAGTCCTGCAGAGTCGCCCCGAGGCCTGTGACATCGTCCGCTCTAAGACGGCGCCCCCCGGAAGTGCGGCTGCCTGGGCCCGGGGCGCCCAGCGGTCGTGAGAGACGGTGGGGCGGGGTGCTGAGTGCTGAGTGCTTTGGGGAAAGCGCGACAGTTCACTTGGAAAGGAAAGGAACTTAGGGAACTTAGGTGAAGACAATCATCTATATCCTTTGGGAAAGGAAGACAGTTAAAGTGATATCTCTTGGCCACCCAAAGAATATAGGGGCCTACCCCCAAACGAACCGCGCAGTCCACCACCCTTCAGGTACACCACCAGATCGATGGCCGTCCACGGGAGTGCCTCGCGTCCGCCTGAGGACTTAGATGACTCCGATGAAGAGGAGGTGCTCGGTGAACGGGTGGCCACCCCTGCGGTGCCATCTCCCATGGAGCCTGGTGGTCTGAAAAGGGAGGAATGCAGAGCACAGGGTTCCTTGTTTTTTGAACAAGTAATAGAGAACCGGATAAAGCTGGTGTCCTTCATCGTTACGTTTGAATTCCTGATGGGGGCTTTTCATGAAGACGTAATGATGCTGCTACTGTTGCTACTGTTGACTGCTTCCCTGTCTCAGAGAATCAATTTCCTTTCTTGTCCAGGAAGAGGACGAGCAGCCCACTGCTGATGCACTGGACCCAGCTTCTTGAGGGAGGACATGCACAGCACTGTTTCGTTCGTTGACTTCTGATTGGTTTCTTTGATCCATCGATCCCTCGATCATCCTTTTTGTCTTCAGATTTTCCACCCACCAGATTTCCTCCTTTTTTTTCGCTGAAGACGAACCACAACGGTGGCAAGACCATCGTGGCCGTGGAAAGATGAAAGACCCAGAAAGACCCACGGCAACGACTTCAGGCCGAGGCTTCATCTCCGACGTCTCCTGATGGAGAGGAGTTGGAGAAGGAAGATGGAGCCCTCTGCAGAACTGCTGCTTAGCGGCAAAAAGCAAAAAGCTGGACTTGGGAGTCGAGTCGAGCAGCACAGTTCACGTGTCTCGGTGGTAGAAACGCTACAGGCTACTGTTGTCAGCTTGGAAACTGGCGCTTCGTTCGAAGACGACACGTGGCCTTTGAGGTCACGCACGAATGGTTGGAGGACACGGTGGAATGCGTTCCGATGTGTTGGGATTGAGCGAGATAAATGCGTATATATATATATATATATGTGTAAATAGACATGTTGCAAAACCATGTAGTACATGTACATATACATGTTGGCTATATACATTGTCATATGTGGTAATGGGAGTTAAGGTCATGGGATTCCAACTGAACCGACCGTGAAAGGAACCCGTGCAATGGGGATGGGTACCTCAAGATGCAGGCGTGATATGGGAAGAGCGACATTCGTTGTGCTGGGATTGGATCTTCCAAGATCGGATCTTGAAACAGAAAGCGGACTTCTTGCCAATCTTCGTGCCAATCATCTACTGCAAGAGCTTCAAAGGTGAAGACTTAACTTGACATCATCTTTGCTCAGCTAAGACTTGACTACACTGCGAAGTTGCGCCAGTGAAGATCTTGACTTTTGCGTTTGGACTCTCAGAGCTGTTCGGTTTTGCAAAACACTGAATGCGGGATATTTCCCGCATATTGCAGACGCTAGGCAACGTGCAGATGGTTGGAGAGCAGGTGGGGCGGTTTCCGTTTGTGGAGGATAGCAAATTCATATGAGAGGAGATCGGGCCTTGTGTGTTTGAGTGGATAGGCCTGGCACGTCAGGTCTCACTACGCTCATGTCTGCCCCAGGCATCGGAAGCCACCGCTTCAGCAGGTCCGCACGAGCCGCAGGATGTCGGGCAATGGTGGACTGAAGATGGTGGGCCTCAGTGTCTCGTTGGTTTTGGTATTTTCTAAAACTCCAACCCAATAGCTATGGCCTCCAACATAATAGGGATGGCCTCCAACCTGATAGCGATGGGCTCCAACTCACTCGGCTTCCAAAGCCGCCCCCTGTGCCTCCGGTTTGACCTCGCCGTAGGTCCCAGTCACCCCATGCCGTCCTATCAGGCCGGGAACCGCGCGGGGGATCCGACGGGAGCCGAGCTGAGCCGGAGTGGAGAGCGCGCGGAGCTCCAAAAGGGAGTTCACCACACGCACTGTTGGCGCATGCCCCAAAAAACACTCCGGTGTGACCAAAAAGCAGTCCAGTGTCCGGCCTTCGACGTGTTGACTGTCCTACCCCTCCCTTTTTTCCTGCACCACCGTGCAGGCACCCACACAGCCCAGTGAGCAGCTGCAAATGCCGCAGCCGCAGATGCCACAAATTCAGCAGCTGCCTCCGCAGGGAGGACAGATGCTTCAAGGGCAGATACCGCAAGGGCAGCTGCCGCAAGGGCAGATGCCGCAAGGGCAGATGCCCATGCAGCAACTTGGCATTGGCCAGCTGTTTGGCTTTCCTTTGAGGGAGTGACATGTGACATGTGGCCTGAATGATCGGTGAATCAGCCTCCCGAAGAAGCCAATCCTTCGAGAGGTTGGAGAACGACACATGCACAGATTCCATGTTCGTTCGGAAGGAACTCCACTGGACCGAGGATGGTTTTGATGCCGGTGGCGATGGCGCCCATGGGCCAAGGAGCCTTGGCCGTGAGCACCCAACCCTCTATTGGTTCGTATGGCTTTTCTGCCGGGCAATTTTTGGGGAATGGGGCGTCTTCTTTTTGAGTTGTTGCTGGAACAGCAAAGAACAAAGCGCATTGAAGTGGCCTGGCCATAGACTGTATCTCGGGCGCCAAGTGCGAATCCAAGATGTGTTGGGCGCCGTGGTTGTGTGCATCAACGCTACTTCAATAATCTAATCTCTATCATTGATGGGTCCAGAATCCAATGACACAGCTCCGTTTTGTTCCTACTGTTTCCTCAAACGGATCGGTGAATCTCTTCAAATTGGTGAAGCAATCGCCTCCTGCTTTGGATGGGTGGGTTATTTTTTAAATATGTCTTTTGAGTTTTTCAAGACCCATGGTCTTCTTCTTCTTCTTCTTCTTCTTTGAAACGCATTCCTTTTTTGAACAACACCCGTGAATCTCTTCCACACTCGACCAGGCGCTCCCTGCTCCGGGTACGCCGCCCCAGCTCCGGCGCCCGTCCCGGAGCTGCCAGTGCGGCAGCCAGACCGGGGAGCCAGGCATCCAAAACCGGCACTCGAAGCGGAAGAGGGAAGAAGAATTGGAAGGGGAAAAGGCAGCTTTTTTTGAAATACTTTTTCACTTCGGAGCCCACCATGATCTGAACTGGCCTGTTTTTCAGTCCCTAAATCCCTACTGTGTACCGCCTCGTGGATTCAACGTGCCAGGTGGCCAGCGGCAGCGCCGGTCCCTGCGGGGCCCATGCCGCAGAACACGGTGACGGTCCGGGGAACTCGGAAGCGGCGACCGTATCGCTGCTGACCCGTCGGACCGTTGGGGCTCAGATGGTCAGTTCTTGAGTTTTTTTAAATGTAACACACACAATAGGTCGTAATAAGTAAGTAAGTAAGTAAGTAAGTAAGTAAGTAAGTAAATAAGTAAGTAAGTAAGTAAGTGTCTACTTTTTTAGTGCTCACAAACTGCTTGGACTCTCAGTTTTCGACACTTTTGTATGCTTTTCTTCTTTTTCTCCTTGTTTCTTGTCCCTTTTCTTTGAAGTGTTGCAAGATTTGCCCCGCGGAGGTGACGTCAGCCACTGTCCCATCGCCAATGCCGCAAGGCGATTTTGGGTATGTGCAACGTGAATGACCCAACATGTGTCGCAATGCTTGGCAGAGTTTGATAGGAAGAATGCTTGGCATATGCATTCGAAAACGTGATTCCTACGGGACCTGAGCTCTTTTGGGTCAGTGTTCTGCTTCGAACGACCTTCGAACGACCTTCGAACGACCACCGCTGCCTCGCGCACCAGGACCCCCCACGGTTCCACAGCCGCAGACGCTCACCAGGGCCTTTAGCCGGAGGCTCAAGGTGTGCGAAATCCGAGGAGCTTGGCCCATCCAGGTGGAGCTTTGATTGTTATGCTATACTGTAAATGAATTGCCATTCTGTAGGCAAATGGCCAAGTCATGCAAGATTCACTCATCTAAAGGCTTGGATCCTGAAAGGATCATTTTTGAATACTTTTTCCAGTCGTAAGTAGTCAGATTCCTGATTGAGCCCAGATACTTTGAGTCTCAAATCCGGAGAAGCCACCAACCGTACTGATAGAAAAACTACCAACCGTAGACGACCAGGTTTCAACATACTACCAGGTTTCATCCAGGTTGTCTTCCTTTTTGGTTCGATTCGGGTTCCTTCTTTACCACTATTTTTTCCCATTATTGATGCAATTTTTCCTATTTTGGATTATTTCCTATGTTTTTCGTTTTTTAGATCACACCCAGTAGTGGAAGCTTAACATCCTCATTACAATACTTGAGGAGCTCTGGCCATCTTTCGTGTGATGCCGATTCCACTAGCCTTTCAGAGGGGCTCAAGCCTTCTTAGCTGATACCATACTTCTTGGTCGCAAAGCCATTTCCCTTGGGCTTGAGACATGGAGATCGTAACACTCTCAGGTGCCACTTCCACTCAGCTTCATGACAAGGAGTTAGGCTGCATGGTGGAGAGTGGAAGACTTTTTGGAGATCTGAAGAAGCTCCTGGCCCGTCGGGTTGGATACTCAAGATTTCGACAAAGACTCTTGAGTGAACACATGGGCGAGCTTCAGGATGATATGCCGGTCAGACCACTATCAATTGTGCAGTTGGTCATATTGGACTTCTGTGCGCCTGAGAAGGGCTCTACTCCTGGCATGCCAGAATGATCGAGTAGTTGAAGTTACGCAGTTGCAGAAACCACTGGATCCCAATAGAGCAGAAATCGACCCTCCACCCCATGTATCGTGCAGCATGGTGCCATTTGGAAGTGGTATGCTTGTTGCTCGAGACTGGAGCTGACACGAATGCAGCAGACATGCATGGGATAGTCGCCTTGATGCTTGCAGCTTGGAATGGCCACTTGGAAGTGGTACGCTTGTTGGTTGAGGCTGGAGCTGACTGAGTGTACGGCAATGGCAAATGGGTCATTTGTGTTGATGGGTGCAGCTCTGAATGGCCACTCGGAAGAGGTTCAATTGTTGTGCTAAGAGAGTGCGATCATGGAATGGCAGCTGCTACACCTCTCGGCTTGGCTACACCTCTCGGTTTGTTCTCGTGACACGAAAGGATCGTGACACGAAAAACAGGGCTTCGGTTGGGCTCCTGGGCCACGTGCAGCTCTGAGTGTTGCCAGTTTATGCTGAAAAGGAGAAGGGTCTCGGTGACGTTCGTCTATGACCGTTCACCGTTCATCACGTAGTAATGGCATCACCGTTCATCACCTGAAACATGAATGGCAGTCACGTGGCTCTTTAGAATGACGCATTTTGAGATAGTCGAATGATCCAACCGTAGCTGTGAGAGTCCCTGCTGGGGGATAGGTGATGATGGGTGTGCTTCACAGTTGCTTGAAGCTTCGTGTTCCGTTCGCGCACAAAGCTTCCAAGGTGTGAAAAGCGGTTTCTTCCGCGTGTTCCTGGGCTGCACGCTGAAGTTGCTCCCGCGAATGCAAGCTCGTTGGTTAGTCTTTCATGCGCCTCACTTATATGAGAGCTTGAAAACCTATACATCCTCTTCTTCTTGAACTGTAAACCGACTCTCCAACATGGACTCTCCAATGGCGGAGCGGCCGTGCCTCCCAACCGCGGTGCGGTGCACGGCCAGGCACTGGACCGTGGATGGTCGCAAGCTCCGTGGCAACGAGAAGCAGACGGTGCCCGGGCAGGAAAAACGATGCCGTCTCCGCGTCTCCGGTTTCACCGACTCTTCGACGCAACCCGACGACGCCTCGGAGAGAACCGGTGGAACGATGAAATGGAGTCGAAAAGGAGTCGAAGGAGTCGAAGGAGTCGACGCTGTGAGTTGAGTCTGAATTCTAATAGCTTCTTGTTTCTAATAGCAAACATTGTTACTACTAGTAAGGCACTTGTTACTAGTAGCGATGCACTTGTTCCTAGTAGCTTTTTGTTTGGTTTCGAGGTCTCTCCGCCCTTTGAGCTTTCCTTTGGCCCGAAGTTCCCCTCCGTGACGCCCCCTTGGGCTGCAACTAACCGTGGCGACGTCGACGGACGTGCGACGTGTGGAAGCGTCGCCGACGGTCATGTGGCGGGTCATGTCATGGTTTGAATGACAAAGACCCGACAGGCTCGGTTTGTTGATGTTTGTTGCTGAGTTGGTCTTGTCTTGTGGTGCCCCATGAGGTTCAAGATGATGATCTACCCGGAGATGGTCAATGAGGGCAAAGGTGGCAGCTGCTTCAGGAGATCATTTTGCTCGTGCATACTTCAACGCCGGTGGATGTGTGCCGAACAGTTCCGGATGAACCCCTTTTTGTTCGCTATTGTTAGTCAAGATCTGAGAGGAACATGGCGGAATTTGGGTTTTGCCTTGTATTATCACGGCCGGGCTTCAGCCCTCCTGCTTGTTTCCGCTAATTTTTGTGAGGAAATCCAAAGGACGAGGTTTCTTGGAGTTGCACATGGCACTCTTCCGTTTGGCACTCTTCCGTGTGGCACCTTTGCACAGCCGAACTCGGATTTCTGCCATTTGCTTCCCTTTTAAACCGGAGCCGAACCGCTTCGCACGGCACGCCCAGGCTATGTGCAGATCAAATGCGAAGCCGAGCTTGAGGAGTCTGTGGCGTATCTCGACACCTTTGAGCGATGGCATGACTTGGTCCAGACTTGACTTTTGCAAGACATGTAGACTTAGTTGCATCACAACATAGAAATGCGTGATGATATCCCCGGATCATGAACCCATGACCCAAGGCAAGCATGGACACTCACTACAATAGTCAACAATCAACTACTATAAAATGGGTGTTTGCTGCTTGATTTGCTGGACCTGCAAAAGAACCCTCCCCAGCGACTTTCCGCCCCGTCACTCGCTCAGGTGGGTCTCATTTCGAATCTCCATCGGCAGTGGCAGTAAGACCGTCTCTTGGTCTTTCTTTCATCCGTGGAAGGTCTCGGTTGACGCACCGATCCGTCTCCGTCTCCCGCCCCGACGACGGTCGACGCCCGGAGGTTGGACCTCGGGGGCCGAGATATCACAACTTCTCGCAGAGTGCGGTCACCGGCCTCGAGGACAGAAGATGGGGTGGGGAGGACAGGAAAACGGGTGGGGCAACGGACACGGAAACGGGGCTGTTTGTTGGGGAGTTTCTGGAAGGGTTTGTTGGTTGCACTTCGGCGATTTCTCTTTTGGGAGCTCGGTTCAGCCATCAAAGGGACTTGTGATGTGCACCGCGTTTCTCCTACGGAACTTTTGAGAGCTTATTATAATATATATTGGCAGCGTTTCTCCAAGGAGTTGCAGAAGACTAGTCCACCAGTTTTTGCAGAGAGAAGCGTACCAGGCCAGGCAACATGAACGCGTGCAGTGCAATGCGATGCGTCAGTGACAACGCTGGTCTCCAGACTCGTCGTTCGTCAAGAATTCATCTCCCGCACTGAGGAGGTGACGGATTAGACTGGATTAGATTGGCAGATGACTTGACGTCTTGACGTCTTTGACGTCAGATTTGCTGTTCGTTTTTTTTTTTTTTTTTTTTTTTTAAGATTCCATATTTTTTTCCACTTCCATGGGACTTTCTCAGGAGGGCCCAACCAAAGATGAGCATATCTGGGACTTCACCGCAGCCTGGTGGAGAGCAGGGGGAGGAGACGAGACACAACAGGCAACAAATGGGGGAAACAAGGCGACTTGAGTCATAGTGATGCGGCTCAAGTCGCCTACTTTGGGATGTACAAAAGAACTGAAGCGGCTGTCAGTTGGTTTGAATTTCCTGTCACTGATCTCTGTGATGTTTTCTTCTTTCAGTTCCATAGTCCAAAAATCATGATTATGTAAACTTTTTTTGTTTATATTTTGGGGCAAAGCGGATTGGGAGAACTTCCTGAGCTCAGGAAGTTTTGGATGAAGCATCTCAGACATTCGCTGCTTGGGCAATACATGTCAGCCAATTGATTTTGCAAGAGGAAGCAGTCTTTCACACAATTAGTTCGAAGTTCGATGTTTGCATTTTTTTGGGAGAGTCTGAGGTGGTTTGCTTGGAGATTGTACCTGGAGGCAAAGGTCCTGGCAAGTAGCTGTGCAGAATCTAGACCACCCAAATGGGCCTGCTGGAAAGATCCGAAGTAAAGTGCTTTCCTGTTCCTTCCACTCTTTTTGGTGATACAAGAGGACAATTGATCAGTTCCTTCCACTCTTGCAACTGACGTTGACGTTGTTTTTTGCGCGGGGTGACAGGGAAGGTTGGAGGCCCAAATTGGCTCGCTGCCTTGCCGAAATCCTGGGGGAGGCAGTGCTTGAGTGGACCCAGCCCATAGACTCAGCCCAGCAAAGCAGTTTTTTCTTGCATTGATGCATGCAAAAACCAGCTTTTGAGAAGTGCCGTTTTGGGGCTTCTTTGTCTCGCGGCTTCAGTGCGCAGACAGAGCACCGTGCAGATCTTTTCTATTTTTTCAGAAGCTGTTTGCGTTAAAAAGCTTTGCCGGGGGAGGGCTTCTTGCCTAAGAAGCGAGAGAGGTCCGATTTCGGGGGGATCAATCGACGGTGGAGAGGAAGGATGCTTTTTTTTGTGACTGGAACCAGGCTATACCACAAACAGCTTGTAAAAAGATGTTTCGGTGGTTCCTCCAAAGATCATTGAGACTGCAACAATCTTGGGTCCAAGCGGAATTCTTGCTCCCATTTGACAGACTGACAGACTTGTTTGGTGTGTGCTTAGTAGCTGCTTCCTCCTTTTCGTTGAAGACCCGGAGAGTCTGGGTGCTCCAGGCTGCAGGCTAAGTGGTGGCAAGAAAGAAGCACTTGCTTCGTCCGTCGTCCGGGGAGTCTCAGAGCCTCAGATTAGTGACACATGACCTTGAGCGATCAAGGATCAACAGTAGAAGCTACGAGCCAAAGGATTCCAACGATTCCAAAGAACCCAAGGACTTAGGAGTCTCTCTAACTAGTCAACGAAAGTAAGGGAACATGTCGAGCCAATCCGCCCGGTGATTTTCCGCTGGAAGTCGAGCGGCGCTCTCGGTGCTCGCGCCTGACGCGCTGGCTCTCCAGTCCGGTGAGTGTGCTGTCTGTCGCTTCAGACAGGATTTTTAGAAATCTTCACCTCCGGACATCCGTCGTCTTCCACTCCTCTTTTGCCGGGAGGGGTGGGAGCAGAATGTGTGAGACATCGCAAGTGCACCCGTGCGCACCGCGATACAGACAAACCGCACCATGACACCAGACCAAGCTGGTTGATGTGGGGATCCAGTCTGTGCAAGAGGTTTGTCTTGGGCACAGCCAGCACTACGCGGAGCAGTGCCAATGCAAAGGCACCAGACCTTCAACTGTTTATAGATGGATGCATGGATATCATCGCTTCACAAGCTAGCTCAGCCAGCTCCTTGTTGTGATAGGTTGTTCACCACCCTAGAGAGCTTGAGGTAGTGCCGTTGGTATCCGGGACATCCTGTGTGTATCTGTCAACCGGGCTGTGGAATCTTGCGACGGCGACACTCCTTCTGCCATGCAAGTGATGTTCAATTCCACAACCCACACACCGCGGACCAGACAAGAGACAGTGGTGTTTGGAGCACGGAAAAGTGGTGTTGGATGGTGTTGGTGTCTTGATGGGATGGGACGGTAGATGACTGATCGATGTAGATAGTTTTTGAGACTGCCAGATCTTCAATGACAACTCAGTGGGTGCTGATGTGGAAGCACAGACCCAATCAGATGACATACGATGCACTGCTTTACAGTCGTCCATTGAAAGGTCAGAGTGGTAGTCAACTATTGGTTTTCCACCTACTTTTCATCTGCGTACCTTCTTGTCTTTGATCAATCCCTGGTGCGTTTTCGCTTGGTTTTCGCTCCATGCTGACCGCCTCGTGGTCCCTCGACAGGATCAGCTCATGAACGCCATGCTTCTACGGCGGAACCTCTGCGCCATCACCGACGACCCCAGGCGATGCTCGACACGACGGACGAGACGAAAACCGCTCGGGACGTCGAGACGTCCCTCGCGGCACTGCTGGGTGCCGGATGCGAAAAGAAGCTTCTGCCAGGCTGCGAGGAGCTCAGGTGCAACACGCTCAGTCCTTTAAAGGAGGATCGCAACACGCTCATGTGCTCTCGGGGCGTCCTATGCCCATGCCCATGCGTCCCATGCGGAGGTGGGAAGAGCTTCCCGTGGGCCTCGTCGAGAGCATCTTGCGGCAGGACCCGTTTCGTCCGGTCGTTGGGGCCCCGCGACGACGGTCTCGCCGTACGATGCCCGAGGGTCCGGCGTCCCGTCAGCCGAGATCGAAAGGTGTCCGGTTCTTCGCGCTGCCAGTGGAACAACCTCGCAGGTTCAAGACACAATGGAAACACCGGAGTCACTGCGCGGTTTCTGTGTCCCTTCCCTTCACGTGTTCGGGGCGATCGGTCCCACACCGCGGATCGAGGATGACCTGCCCATTGCCTCCGAGGCGGAGGCGGATGGGCAGCCGGTGGCGTCATGTGGCGATCCAGTCCGAACGTGTCGGTGTTTCACCGAGATCAGTGCGCAACCATCCCTCCGAGTCGGACAAAAAGGTGGACTGTAAGTTTAAAACGTAGCTGCCAAAGCGTCAGACGAGCATAGAAGTGTTCATGCTGCCAATGTGATCAACGCACGTGGTCACATTGTGCAGCTTGAGTTCGTGAGGATTACTCTCTCCTACACGTGAATCCTTCGTCAAATCCACTGGTGCTCCTGGCCTTGGTAGGTCCTCACCCTGATCGCAAAGTGGATTGGGGACAAGAGAAAACAGGAGGCGCGTCGACCAAGTCGCCCATGGCGCATCGTTCTAAGCCAATTGGTTCTCTTAGGACGAGATATTCGGAATGCAGGCAGTTTTTATCCAGGCCATCTGGTGATTTTCAGCCCATGGCAGTTCACTTGCGAAGAGGCGCTTAAGCGCCGTCCCACCGGTGACTCCGCAGGACGTCACCCGGTTGTTGCGGTGTTTTCGCAAGGGCGACAACGTCCGGGCCCGGACGCCTGGAGTGGATGGAGGGGGATGGAGGATGGAGGGGGGTCTGATCGAGGGGATTGTCCACGCTTGGTCTCTAGTTTCCTTGTCCTTCTTCATCTCCTAAAAGTTTGCAGAATAACTTTTGAAGAGAATGGAACACCCAACCTCCCATGTGAGTGCTGTCACCACCCTGATTTCACTGTCTTCGACCCCCGCGTGCTCCGCCCAAGGGCGGTCCACGGCGCGCGCGCGCGCGCGAGGTGCGTATCGCGGACATTGCGGCGCTGATGCAAGCGCTTGGTGGGGACCCAGTGGTCTGGTCGAGCGATGGAGCGATGGAGTGGGGGAAGGATTTGGTGGACCGGACCCCAAGGCGAACGAAGCATGATTTGAATCATGGTCCATGGTCATATCTTCGTGCACATGTTCCATGTGCCCTTTCTTTTCGTGCAGAGAAGCTCCCCAAGGAACGTGAGTTCTGTTTTTTTTCATCGAGCGATTTTTTGTCGGATGCCGACGAAGGCTGGGACATCTTCTCCGACAAGGCGCAGAGCTCGCGAAAGTGCATCATCACTCCGATAGTTAGGGGTGCCGGTTGGCCCAAACAAGTCACTAGAAGAGGTAGATCCAGGTAGGTCATGTTGATCCAGGTAGGTCATGTTAGTCCAAGTAGGTCATGATAGTATTCAGATGACACCGTACTCCAGTGATTTTTGATTTGGCTGGTGATTCCGCACGGTTTTTTGGTTTCGTTCTTTGGCTTCGAATCCCAGAGATTCACGTGGCGTACCGAGCGATCCCCACCCAGCAGCAGAGGTTAAGACTTAAGAGCTTTCTCTCAGTAGGCCCCCCCTGGATGCACTTCAGGACCCTTGTGCAGTGGTGCCGCTCGGGTTCTTGCTTTCCCTTGTGCACTCGTCATCTCTGCATTGTTTGTGAAACCCTTCTCCTTCTCCTCTTTCTCCTCCTTCCTCTTCCTTTCCTCGTCCTTTCCTCCTTCCCTTCCCTTCCCCTTGGTTTGCCATTCCGGCGGACGTGACCCATGGCCCATGAAGCCCAGCTTCTCGTGCCCAGGTGCCCAGGAAGGGCGCTTCCGTGTGGGATCCCAACTTTGCCATTCACCGGGAGGCCCGGCCGGCGCCACGCGGGTCTCGGGCGCATCGCGGGTCCTGGCTTTCCCTTATGGTTCGTTAGCAGATCTTCCCATGGGTTTCTTCATTCAAATGGAGGCCTTCTCCCGTCCAGCTCGTGGCTTTTTCATGTGCTTTCCTCGCCAAGTCGCACCTCTCAGGGTGCTGGCACTGCACAGTCTGGCCCAGAGTCGGAGCACCCAGGGAACGCACCGTCCGACCCGATCCGCCTGAGCGACCCACATCCTACTCCTACGTGGGGTGCTTGTTCCACAAGACGTGAGGAGTAGACTGGTAGCCCTCGGTTAGTTCAAGTCCCAACCTTGGAGATTAGCGAGTTGAGAACCCCCCTGGAAAGATGCACCCTTTTCATATTTGGTTCCATTGCAATTGAACCGATCGAACATGCATGGGGCGAAGCGCCGCATCTGCACGAACTTCACCCAGGTCCGGTGAGCGGAAGGAAGGGAACAATGTAGAGATTATCCACCAAATGGGTCCGGAAGCTGAGAGCACGCAGCGCAGCGCAGCCGAAGAAAAAGAACATGGGGGGGGGAGAGGGCAGACCATCAGTCGACTGACGGTGATTCAGATGAGGATGAGAGGATGACTGGAGTTTTTTTGTTGGCGGATCGTGCAGGTTTTTGCTTCTGAAAGCGTCAGGTGACACAATGCAGATATGGGCGCGCGGCGTGTTTCGAAGGTGAGACATGCGCATGACAGAACAGAACAAAAGTCTTGATGAGGTGGAATGTCTCACCTGAAAAAAACAACGATTTTCCAGTGTGCGAATGATCTGTCAGATGCTCTCTCATTTCGACTCCTTGAGGAATCAGACCTCAATGGAACCAAACCATTTGAAGAGTCAAGACACCGAATGAGGCCCCAAAGACTTGATGCAGCAGGAACCTGGCTGGGCATATCCAGGCGCATGGAACTTCATGTGCCATGCTGTGGCTATAAGCAGATTGGGTGTAGTTCACAGTTCACATGCTCCATTTATTTTGGCTAAGAAGCTTCGACTGCAGCACAAAAGCTCGACCTGAACACAGCCGTCACGGCCAGACCGTCATGGTGATGTCACCTCCGTCTCAGAACCTTCGCTCCGCAACTCGAACGGCGAACGGGCGGTTACGAACCGCGCTTCGCTCGCGGTTCGTCGCTCCCGGTGAGGCGCGCATCGGTGCCGGGTTACCTTGACGTCCACCAGCTGGTCGCACCGGGAGCGACGCCTCCTGCGCGGCGGTCCGGGTCAGGCGCGGGTGTGGTGCGTCGAAGGGGCAGATTGCTGGGTCCATTGGGTCTCAGGCAGCAGAAGCAGTTTGAAGATGTTGCCGGACGACATAGTCACAGTCCCATGGCGAGACTGTGTGACATCTTGAGGCAGCTGCTTTACAGAAGCGAGCCTTTGAGTCAAGGGCTCAGAGCTCTGAGCAAGCAGGTCCTACTCAATCACTTTCACTGAGAAGGCGATGGTCGTATGCAACATACCAAAATCAGGTCTCTTTCGTCAGAATCCCGTGCCTCTTCCAGGGCCCCCAAACCTTGGGGTAGATTTCGGGCGATTTCCGAAGCCAACGAAAGCCCAGAAAAGCCATAGGAGACCACACGACGTGTGACTCACCCATGTGACAGAGACGGGTGCGGTTTCTGCCGTTGAGGTACAGTCCGTCAAAGCCAGCGGAACGAAGTCCTTCACCGCCGCCATCTTTGCAGGTGGCCAATCGTAAAGAGGAAAGCAGGGCCGGAAAGCGGCATGTGTCTTGTTTATGTCGAAAGCTTCAAAAGGAGCCTGCTGGGGTTCGTTTGATCTATTATGGTAAGTTGATGTAAATGGTAAGTTTAAACTTTAAACATATCTTGGCATGATCGCGAACATCCACATCATCTTGATCAAAGGATCTTGTTGGGCACTAAGTCACCAAATCCATTTGTGTCTTCAACATTCTTCCATGGCTGGTCTCACAGTCCAAGGTCTCACAGTGAAGTCAAGCGTGTTGATCCACAAACGGCCCACACGATCCGAGATCCGTTCCTTCGCCGCCGTTGGCCCAGGTTCGGCGGCCACCGGTGGACACCTTTGAGACCTTTGACATTGCCCCCATGTGTGGAACCTGGCTTTCTCGCGAATCGCCAGGCTGGTCAGTCCTGCATGACATATGACATGGCCCCTATGTCCTGGTCATTCACCAGAAACGATCCCAAATGGAGAGTTTCCTTTTTTTCAGATAGGTTTTCAATGGTTTTCAGATCATGCTCAACGACCCACCACTGCGGGCCGGGGACCGGTCGACCGAGGTCTGACGGATCGGAGCAGTCTTTTCTGGGTGGCGCCGTGATCCGAAACTTGACGCAGGAGATCGGAAAAGAGTGACCAGCAGTCTGGAGATCGTGCGTGTTGTTTTTTTGTTGGAAAAACACGACCTCCAGATGTTTTGGACAGTTTCGAAAAAGGGTTGGATCTCGCGTGCTAGTGCCACAAAATCCAATTGTCAATGCAGGGCGAAACGAACCAGCGAAGCTGCGCTTGCTAAATCTTATCCATTCGGGTCTATTTGCAGGGCAAGCGGTCAATGCTTTTTTCAGGACAAGATTGACCACGAGCTGGTGGATCATCAAGTCATTTGTGGCGTGTCGACGGTCTCAGAGCCACAAAACGTTGCCAAAGCCGCTTCATTCAAACGAACCCAAGTCACTGTGATGTCTTTAGATGCGATCCACATCAGCCTGATTCTTTTCTCAAAATGTTTCCCTCAAGATTCATCTGACCTGTGCGCATGTCGCTGCACCAGGTCCAGCGGATATCAGAGACACGGCATGAGGATCTCTCAATGCGACAAGAAAGCCATCTACTTGGTGGAGGCCATCTCTCGAGCCTTGCTCGTTTCTTTATCCTTTGCACCCCAACTTCAGAACGTGGCCGTGGATGTTGTGACAGCTGTGCTACGAATCAGAAGTGTATGACAGACTGTTTGAAGCTTTCCTGCACGTTTCGCCCACGCCGGCGGCCTGGGCGGTTGAACCCGAACCCGTTTGGGGACTTCCGGGGACTTCCGGGGACTTCCGGTCCTTTGCACTCCGCCTTCGCGACCATGAGGCTTTCGGAGGGTTCGGAGAGGTTTTAATCCGGTGGGTCATTGACGAAAGTGGTGTGCCATTTAGGTGTGGCATGAGGGGAGGAAAAGGTTGCCCTTTTGTCATGGCAAACGAGAACCCTTCCGAAGCATGAAGCAGACCCTCACTTGGGTGTTCCAAGCGCCGGTTTCAGCTTACACCACTACTTGGGACGACCTTCGATCAGTCCCATCAAGACTCTATTTGAGAAGGCCAGGGGGGCCAGGGGCGGCCAGGGCGAGATTCTTCGTGCCATCCCTGCATCTCGTGGATCGAAAAGAGGTGACAGTTCAAGTCTTGTCGAAGCCGCCCAGATGTTCGTATCAACCATGGGGGCCATTTCAGCACCGGCACCCGTCATATTTTCGTCAGTCAGCCTTGCAGTGCTATCCCCCAATCAGCACTTCAACTAGCACATGGTTTGGTGCCACATCCGTGTGCCAAGGACCCAAGCCAATCGACTCCACGGCCCACCCCGGGCTCGGCCGTCGACGAGCCGTCAGCCCACCCCACGACGGACGCGACGGGGCGGCGCCATGGGCTGTGGCGCCTCCGGCTTACGACCCTTCGCCGAAGCCTTCGAGCTACAAGAGGTGGTCGGGAAGGCGGCGGGTTTACGTGCGGTGGAGGGAGGCGGCAAGTGGGCAGAGGAGGGCAGAGGGGCAACAGGGTCGTTCTGTCGTTTTTCCTCGGGAGGGTCGTGTTTGGTCCGTCCTCGCGACCTTTTGGGCTTCGACCTGGTCTTTGGGAATTGGAAAGCGTGACTTCTGAGGAAGGAATTGGGGGGAACCACTGCCGATCCAGACCCTCCTCCATGCCAAGACAGTCCCTAAAGAAAGAAAGTTCATCAGACCACTTCTTGTTGGAAAGAACAGTCGGGCAAATCGTTGAGACCACCAGCGACAGGAGCAAACTTTTCCAAGAGCTCCTTTTCCAAGTGACAATGTGGGTCTGTCGACTCAAAGAGCGAGCCTCCCTGTTTCGAGCGGCTCGGCGCCCGGCTCGGCAACTCTCGAGTCCCACAGGCACAGAACCCGAAGAAAAAGACGAATCCGTTTGGGTTAGATTCGGTTGGATGTTTTGTCACCATCGACCGATGTGAATTTATGGTTCCACGGAGCAGACATCGAGCTCAAATGCTACATCGCAACCAGCGTAGAGAAACGGCAGGAAGGAGCTGCGTGGTCGCCACAGCCGGAAGATGTCTGAAGCCTTGGTCCGAAGGTGCCGAGGCACTGGTTCTTGTCGTCCGCGCTAGTCTTCGTCCGCTGCGAGGCACTCCATGGGCGCCAGGTAAATCCGCTGTCGGAAGCCGCGTGCGGTCAAGGGCCTTCCAGCACGTTCTCGCAAGCAGCTTCGTGGCTAGCCCTCCGCAGCTCAACAGAGCGGGCCAAGCAGTGTTGAGCGTACCGACCTCCTAGCGGTGTTGTGAGCAGGCACGGTTTCCATGGGTTTCCTGTGCCGGTGCAGCTGGAGAGGATTCTTCTCAGCCAAGTTTTTCTGGCCGTGTCCACGTCCTTGTGCTCATGTGGCAACCCGCCCCCATGTGCTCCTGCCAGGGCAGATTTGGTGAGGTTTATGCTGCAGTAGAGAGAGCCTCTAGAGACGCCAGGTTGCACAAGCACTTGCAAAGCGTTGTTTCACACTTCGGTCAATAACCTAGAGCGACGGTCAGGCAGGTGCTGGGGTCAATTTCATTTGAGCAGTCTGTTCCAAGAGTAGTCAAAGTGCAGTTCTTGTCTGTGCAGTCGTCGCATCCTTTGATTAGCGACAGGTCCTTTTTTTCTTAAAAAGGACACGCGACTTGTAACACTCAAAATGGTTTCCTTCGTGCCCCCGTCCAAGGAACCCTATGCAGTCCGGCTCCTTCCGAATGCGGCGAGGGCTGAATTGCTGCGAGAAGCGAAGCTGTGGAAGAGCGTCGCAGACAGCAAGCCCCTTGGCAGCTTCCCAAGGCTCCCGCGGCTCCGCGTGGGGCCCACACTAGGCCACCAGCCGGGCGTTTGGAGTCCGAAGGTCTGAAGGTCCGACAGGTTGAAAGCGGAGAAAGGTTGGAGTCAGTACGACGAATCACCGAGCAGGTCAGACGACAGACTTCAACTTGTCGTGATCAAATTGCAAGTAACGGCCAGGGTTGTTCCGGTGGGCATGTCCGCCTTTGACCCTTTGATTCTACTTTGTATATCTTTGTATGTGTTGTTGGGGGTTCCTGATCGGAGAATCTCTTCCTGCACTGGCTCCACAAGAACCGTCCCGGTGGTTCAGTAAACAGTGTTTCTTTCGATCGGTTGTAGCTCTCCTCAGCGACATGACGCTTGAAAGCCAAGAAACTGGCTTCACACATATCACGAAAGGTAGCCCTTTAGGGGATACCTTGAGTTTGTCTTGCGAAGCAAGTGTTGGGACGTCCGGGTCTAATAATTGATCGCTCAATTCAGACCCCCCCCC